GGTACATGTATGGTTTTTTTTTTTTAATTTACAGGAACATGGTATGCATGTTGCGTTTTAATTTTCTCCGAGGTTTAGAGTTCACCTTCCTTTATATGGTAATGATTTATGATAATGAGTTTGAAATGAACGAAAGCAAAATCTTAACCAAAGTTATAAGTGAAACACATCACGCATGTGTGGACTGTACAGTACCTTATGTTCACATTTGATACAATTTGAGGAGGCTGGCTTTCCAAAAAATGTCCAAAATTTTCTGTATAGGATCAAGAATGACAATAATATTAATTTGTTTTTCCAGCTGCAAACTGTAGAGTGTGTTACAGTACATCTTCACTCTTAGTACCAATGACCATTAGTATGTACTCTTTTTACAAAATTTGGAGCAGAACTGAATTACCTAATAAAAATGTGACCGTAGTTAACTTTACAGTTAACCAGACATTTCTGTTACTTGTTTGGCAGGTTGAATAGCTACAATGTAACAAGGTTAGTAGACACAAAAAACAATTTTAATTTTTTTTTCATGCTCTCTTCTTGTACAGCCTGTAAATTCATTGAGCAAATTGTTAACTGCAGTGACACCCAGTATAAAGGCGAATGTGGTACCCTAACTGGACTTGTAGAATACCAGGTACCCTACAGTACGTGATCTTGACCATTATTCACCACAAATCTTATTGGTACATTGCACTGTATACATGTACATTGTAAAACAAGTACAACTGTATGTCTGCTTACATTATTTCCACAACTGTCATAATTACTGCTCTAGGTTGCTTTGTTTTGCAGGTTAGAGTGTCTTCTACACTGTACCACATGCAACTTAAATATTCTACCCAATGCACACAAGAGTTGTACATTCATAAATTGGATACAATTTTTGGTCAAAGGCAGTGCTTAGTGTAAAGTTAAAAAAATTTGGGGTAATCGTTATATACCTTTTTTTTCTATGTACACAGTAAACTGATCTCTTGAAGCTTTCCGTCTACCCTTGCGACCTGTAGCATTTTTTCGAGGTGTTGGTTGAGGAACAGAAAAAGAAACCACACTTGAATTAACATCTGTGTTGGGTCCTTTCAAGGGCTGTGATGGTGGAGAACCTGAACAAAGATGATAAGAGCTAGTTACAATCATGATCACACAGATTAAAGGCCGGGTTCAGACACCAACATTTCATGAGCTGAACCTGGTAATACTTTGAATAAAGCACATGAAAAGTTTGGTTTCTGAAACAATTAGGATTGCTTATTTCAATTTGAAATACTCAGCTGTTCTTCCTGCCTTGCCAGGCTGGGAAATTCAACTTTGAAGTGACTATATGGAACAATGCTTCAATTCGGATGCCTAATTTATAAAATTATGTGCATAACTTAATGCATATATTATTATTACATATTTTGCAAGCAATTTGACCAAAATGAGCTTTTTTTCAGCGACAGTGTAGTTCAACTTTGGAGTGACTATGGAACAGCGTTTCAATTCATGTGGACAACCTAATGCATGTGTTATTACTATGTATTTTGCAATATTTTGGCTGAAATGAGCATTTTTCTCCAGTTCAGCTGGAATTAGGATCGTCATCTGACTCAATTCAACCAGTCATGAAATGTTTTGTATCTGAACTGGGCCTAACATAAATAAAATTTGCAAAGTCAAAAGTCAAAATTTATGTCTCAGAATACCCAACAACAAGTGCTCCAGGATAAATGTAAGTTTTGATCCATGTGAAAGTGAATTTGTAGAACTTTTTTACTATAATAATAATAATGAAAACGTATTGCTAGCAAATTACAAAATAAATTATTATACTCAAATACTCATACAATAAGAAAATAAAGATTGAGACTGGTCTGTACAGTAGCAAGGTAACAGTGATTTAACCAGAATTAATATTACTGGAATGTTATTTTGTTGCAATAAAAATCAAATCAGGTATGACAAACTAAACTGCGCAAGTGGCGATGGTATTAAATTTGTTAACGGTTTTGTACTGTGCTTATGAGCCCTCCGCTTAATTATTGTGATTGGCTTATTTACAGTAAATATTCCTGAAATACACCTGTATTTTCGGTGTTTAGTAATTCTTTCATCGATAGTAATGGGAGATATTTTAAACTACGTCATAAAAATTTCTAACATTTTACATAATATCCTAAAATATTGACAATCTGATCACCTGTAGGAATTTCTGTGTCATCTTGAACTGCTCCTTGTAAATTGCGCACTGCAGCAACAATTTCATTTAGCTTGGGATTTGGAGTCAAGCTCCTAAAAATGAAAAGCAAAGTTTGGAATCTCTGCAGTGTGCTCATGTATAGTAAAATGCATGCAGTACCCTGTAGATAAAATTGTATACCAGCAACTCATCAAAAAGGTGAATTTAAAAGTTTATTTACACAAGAGCAATGATCACTAAGAAAAAGTTAAGGGAGTGCAAAAGCTCTGAACCTTTAGGATGCCCAGCCTACAAAGTTGGTGTGAGGAGTAAATTTTTTTTGGTGTTGTCTAAGGACAAGTATGTTGCCAGGGACTGCTTAACAGCTCATAAGCTCAAATGCTTGTGTTACTAATGAGGACCATGTTGCGCTTATGCTTGGGTTACTAGGGGACCAGACTTAAGAGGTGTTCAACCACTTTTTGGCTTACAGACTTACATAATTGTGGCCTGTCAGGGAAAGAAAAAGCTTTGGAATCAGAGGAACAAAAAAATAAAAGAACTTACCGTTTGGATACAGGAGTCTTACAAAGAGGACAGTACCACTTGTTTTTGGATTTCTTGCTGCTCTTTTCAAGAACTTGCCTGATGCATTGACTTTTTCAATGAAAGACAGAGTTGAAAAGGTTAAGTTTACTGAACAGGCCTTATCTTTTCAGAATGCATACTGTAAAATTCTGAAAATAAGCTCTGGGGCTTATATTTTTCAAAGGCCCTTTTTGAGGGGTTCATTTTTGGAGGGGTTTATATTCAGAGGGGCTTATCTGCTGAGGGAAATTTGCGTTTCACAATCGATTGGGCTAGCCTTATAGTTGGAAGGACATTTACCATTTTTGCTTTGTGTTACATAGTATTTGAGGGCAATTTCCAAGTACAAGCCCCTGGGGGGCTTATATCAGGAGGGGCGATTTAACGGAGGGTGTTTTGCATTACGAGTTTGGGGGGCTTATAGTTGGAGGGGCTTACTTTTGGAATATTACGGTACTTTGGCCCTATTACAATATGAATTGTACTCCACTCAGTCCCATTACCAGTACTTCTTGTCGGCCCTATAAATAACATTGTATGTGAGAGAGAAATAGCATTATTATGAGAATGCTGCTTGTACAACAAAACAAAATGACATGGCCGGAGATGTGTGGAAATTTTAAGCAAGTATTTACTTATTTTAAGCCTTCTTTAAACACTTCAGTGTACTTCAGAGGTTATGTTTGCACAAGGTAAGCTTTTATGGCACATAGTGGCTGATTACAGTGTACAAGCAATGAAGAGTGAATCCGCGTTGCAAAATACTTTTGCAATTACAATTAATTGTCGTCGAAGGAAAGTTCATAACACTTACCCACAAAACTGGTGATTACACTTAGTCGAATGAGGGTCCTTCAGCAGCTCAAGGCTGTCGAAAAGAAAGGAATAAGGCTGCGAATTAAGTAAGTCTTA